GCGGACGCGGCCGGCCCGCGCCCGAAGCCCAAGCGCCGGGTCAGCGACAGCTTCTTCCGGCCGAGCGTCATGGAGCCCATCCTGGGCCGCGCGCAGTGCGGTCAGCTGCGCAAGCAGAGCTGAGCGGGCGCCGAGGCCCGGCCGCGCCTCGCGCCAATAAACCAGCGACACTCGCTTCCTCTGCAATCGCGAAACCTTCCTCCGCAGGCCAGCCGCAGACCCCAGCCCGGGGAGGGGGGCGCCTTGGGGCTTTGAGCCAGGGCGAGGCTGAAGCCCAGGCCTCCTTTGCTACCCAAGGTGGCCGGGCCCCTGCTCGGCCCCGCTCGGGGCCCTGCTCGCCCCCGCTCCGGCCGCTCCGGCCGCTCCCGCCGGCCTCGAGAGCCCTGTCTGGCCCTCATGCAGCCTGCCTGGCAGCCGCCTCGGTCAGGAATCCGCTCAGGATGGCTGTCCCGCCCCAGCCTGTGTGCGTGTCCGGCTGTGTGGTGGGGGGTGACCACCAGGGCAGCAGCAGGTCAGGCTCAGGGTGGACAGTCGCCCGCCCTCAGCCGGTGCATGGCCTGGCGGGGGCTGGCGACGGGCTGGCCAGCCCTCACTCGCTCCAGCGGACCCGCGGGCTCTTTGCGAGACCCAGACCCATCCTGGGGGAGAGGGCCGGGAGGGGCCGGCGCCGCCCTGGCTGCAGGCCGAGCGGGCGGAGCCGGGCAGAGCTGCCGCTGGCAGTGGACGGAAGGCTGCGCGGCTGCACCAAGCCAGTGTCCCTCCTGGAGTCCTGGGCTCTCTGCGCTGGGCCCTTCCGAGACAGCGGGGCCCTTCCCCGTGACAGCCGCGTCTCTGCCACCTGCTCCTGTCCAGTCTCCCCTTCGCCTTCGGTGGTGGGCCGGCCTGTGCAGGGCCCTGCGACCCTCCACCCCAGGGCCTGTGCAGCGGCTGACCCCAGCAGTGACCCACGCCGGCCTGTCGACTCCGACGGCGGCAAGCGTGCAGTCTCTGGCGTGCTGCACCTGTGAAGTGGGGAGCAGAGCCGCCGTCGGGGAGCGGGGCCCTCTCGGGGTCCGTGGGGCCGTGGGGGAGCTGTCAGCACGCCCTCCGCGTCCTTCCAGGGGCAATGCAAACTGACGGTGGCCAGTTGAGGCCCTCGGTGGTCAGCGTGAGGACGGGCCAGTGCCCGTGAAGAAGCTGGTCTCGGCAGCTTCCCACGCGGGCTCCTGAGGAGCTTTGAAAATGACGCACAGCCTCCCCCACACCCCCAGTTTCATCATCCTATGTGCCTCTGGGGCGAAACCACGGGAAAGAAGGCTGAGACCGACAGGTGCGGCTTCAGCAGAGAAGCTGGGCGCCGGGGCCAGCTGCATCCAGCCTCGATGGAGGGGACCCCACATCTGCGTGCACCCCCCTACTCATGCCCTATTGTCATTTCCTAGGGCCACCCAGTGCCACCAACTCGGTGGCTCCAAACCCCGGAGCCACTGATGTGTGCGCGGGGTTTTTCTCCGACGGACGCTGGAAGCGAGAGCCGGCTGCCTCCACGCCCACAGGAAAATGGCCGCCCTGCAGGTGGCCAGGCCCCTCACTCCCCAGCTGGCGCTGGTGGGCGGCCTCAAGTGGGTTTGCATTGGTCACCCAAGTCCAGCCAAGAAGATGCAGGTGCCCCGGACTTGGGGATCAGTTTGAAATCCCTTTATCATTAGTTCAGGGTCAGCAGCGTTGCAAGTTTCCCAGCCACGGACCGCTCGGGAGGAAAAGGCTCCTCGTCTCCCCGCTCGGACGACTTGCCACTGCGAGCCCGTGGCAGGCGGGCTTCGCCACTCGGAGTCCGGCCGGCGGCTCTGGCCCGGGGCCCCCAGAATTCGATGGGGTCAGCACAGCGCCCGGGGACCCGGGAAGGGCTGCGCCAACTGAGACCGTGGCCCCCCCAAACCCGGCGAGGCCCCGCAAGCCCCGCCCACCAACCTCGCCAGGCCCCG